GTGGCGGAGGGTCACAAGGCCAGCTTTTGCCTGGAGGACACGTCCTGCGACTACGGATACGCGAAGCGATACACGTGTGCCGCTCACCAGCAGGTCCGTCCGTCTGCCTGTCAGTTTGTGTGCTACTATCTATCCATCCGTCTGTCCATGTTGTCCGTCTATCTGTCCGTCCATCCAATTATCGACCTGTCCGTGTGTCCACATGTTAGTCCATTTCTCGGTCGGTCAGTCTATATGCCCATCTGCCTGTCCATATGTTCAGTTGTCTGACGTTCATTCGCTCATCTGTGCAAACGTCTGTTTGTCCATCCATCTGTCATTGGTCCTTTTGTCCATTGCTTCTTCTGTCCGTCAGTCTATCGTGGGTCCGTTTCTCCTTGTGTCAGTCCATTCATCCATCCATCTGTTTGATTGAATGGCTGTCAAGTAGGCTGTCTGTTGTGTTTATCTATCCTATAATTCCTCTGTATTCGTTTATTTGTTCATCCTTTTTGCTTTGCTGTCCTTTTGTTTGTCTGCCTGGGCACGTTTCTGTTTGTCTCTGCATATTTGTAGTCTGTCCGTTAAATTGTCTACGTTATTCTTCCATTCATCTGTGCATCCATGTATTATTCTGTCTGTCTGACATTGTTTGACAATCTGTCTGCCCTTGCATTTATCTGCTTGTTTTTTTGTCTTTCAGTTTGTCTGTGCCTCTCTTCTGTTGTATGTCTGTCTGCCCTTCCATCCATCTGTCCATGAGTCGGTTTGGTTGATAAGGCAATCTGGACAATTGCCTCGACAGTTTTAATTGTGCACAGTCATTGATGAATGGGTTCAGCCCATAAAAACTCTCTACCATTGAGAACCTGGGTGGCTGAAACTGGTTCTGATGCACTCAAATGGGCTCTGCTCGAGCCGTTGCGAGCTCTATCAGCCAAACAGCCACCCAAAAAGCCTAACTTTTGAAATAAAAGACGCATTTAATAAAAGTCAATGCAGGAATGTGACGCACAGGTAATCAAGCAATTGTCTAAGTCATGCACAGCACCAAAATGAAACTCATTGTTTTTTTGTAGGTAACTTGGAAGTAAACTTTGAGGCCCCTAATGTTTAATACGCTGTAGGCTTTCGCCACCAATATCCATAATAAATGTTTGTTTGGGTTAAAGCGCGTAAATAAATGTGTCGTTATCCCACCACTCTCCGACACAGCCAATCAGTAAAGTTTGTCACGTAAACGAAACATGCCAATTAGTTATTACTTCAGCACACCGGTTATGTTGGAGGGTCAACCCACAATAATTTACAATTTGAGTACTGTACTGTGAGGTTTCGCTGATGATTACAACCACCAGCTTCATCAGGCGATTTGCAAGAATTGTGAAGACGTCTTCCAGTTGAACTCTTTCATCGAGTAAAAGTCCCTAAATCTAAAAAAAAAAAGCTTCCCTCTCTCAGACTAACACCACTGTGCTGTTTTCATTTTTTGTTCTCATTTCTTGCAGGGATTAAGTCCTGGCTGTTACGACACTTACAACGCCGACATTGACTGCCAGTGGATCGACATCACTGACGTGGAACCTGGGCAGTACATTCTCAAGGCAAGTGCCCTATCCATATTCGAACATTTGGCATCGTCGTCGTCGTCATCATGGTCGTCATCATTGTCGTCGTTGTCATCATTGTCGTCGTCGTCGTCATCGTCATCATCGTCGTCATCATCGTCCTAATTGTCGTCATCGTCATCATCGTCGTCATCATCGTCCTAATTGTCGTCATCGTCATCATCGTCGTCATCATCGTCGTCATAATTGTCGTCGTTGTCATCATTGTCGTCGTCGTCGTCATCATCGTCGTCATCATCGTCCTAATTGTCGTCATCGTCATCATCGTCGTCATCATCGTCCTAATTGTCGTCATCGTCATCATCGTCGTCATCATCATTGTCGTCATCATTGTCCTCATTGTCATCATCGTCGTCATCATCGTTGTCATCATCGTCCTCAGTGTCGTCATCGTCATCATCGTTGTCATCATCGGTCGCACCGTCGGGCCCCATAAACTGCGACGGATCGTGACGATATCGTATCCTAGGAGCGGCGACAGGAGAAGTTCAGGAGATGCGGAGTTTATATTTTTTTATTCAGAGATGTTTCGGGGCAATGAGTGGCAGTGGGACAGTTGTTAATTCGACGGTCCATTGTTAAGACATCGTCACCCACATTCAGAATCAGAATCTTATTTATCCTGGAGATGAAATCCGATGAGCTATGAAGCTCTTCAAAACAGATGTCCAGGAGGGCCGGGTCAGAAAATTACAACGACAAATAATAATAAAAAACGATAGGAGTGAAAAGTATAGGAAAGGTAAGAAAATCACTAAAAAGAAATGAAATTAAAACTATGCAAGTTCAAGTGAATAAGTACACCAATTCCCAAGGTTGGGCGAGGCACCTCCAATTATCACGTTTGGCTGTGTTCGGTGCGAAAGAAGTTCAGCGTACATGCATACAAGGCCGCAAACCCACAGCAAAAAACAGTCCCATGACCAACACCAAGAAAACAGAGTTGCTCACATGGCATTGCACAACAACGCTGCGGGGTGAACCTCAGCCTCCGTGTGTGCTGACAGCACAGGATTCCCTCGTCATCTTCCTCGATTTCGGCTATCTGCCAATCGCATCTAGAAACTCGACACGACCGAGAGAGATGAAGTGATGCGATTAGGTGATGATTTCAAGTGATGATGCGCACCATAATCATCATTTAAGGTAAGTTTAGTTACAAATAATTACTTAATACTTTTATTTGCCTTTTGTTTATTGCAACCATTTATTTTTGGTTTGTGTTTTGATAATGCCCATGTAACGTATTTATTGCACGTAATTCATTCAAAAGATACGTTTTCGTCGGCCAATAACATGATCGGCGAAATGTGTTATTCATGAGCATCTCTGGAATGTACTGCATCTCTCATCGACAATAACGAGGGAATACCGTAACTCTCTCACTGGGTTCCCAATTCACTTTTGTATGCAGTGTTGGAAATGGCCAGGACACTACGAAGACAAAGACAAAGATTCTCCCCCCCCCATAGTCTTAACAAACTGTTGGGGCAAGTGCTGTTAGTGAGCACCTATGAAGGCCGGCACGGCACACGAGGGGGTGGGTGGCCAGCACGACGCCCGACCGCCTTTGTCTCCCGAGTGGCGATATTTACTACACACCGCACCAGATACTCATTTGAGGCCGAGTTGACCTTGGGGAGGCCCAGGACTGGTTCAGATAATCGTCATCGGTGTTGGCTGTGAGTGGGAATCGAACTCGGGTGGTCGGGTTCATAGCGCAGCGCTAACCGCTACACCGCTGCACGACTGCGCATGCCACACTGGCACTTTTCGCAACGCCAACATGCGGAGATCGGCGCTTCTCAGAGCGATTCCTATCCCTATGCTGCCATGTTTCTGCGGAGGGGAATGGACGAGCGAACGTGGGCTGCGGAATGAATCGATTTCATGTCGACATGTCGACATTTCCATCTCGACCACTGCTTTTATCCGAATCGGTGCCGGCCAGTGGAATAAAAAATGTTTTTTTTGTGGGAAAATCGACAGGGCAGATAAATGTTAATTCTACCAAGCGGCGCCATTCAATGTACATATGGGATAAGTCAAGTTGAGGTTATCTTGGTTGACACCTTTCCTGGAGCCGCTTTATAAAGGTATTTGGCCTACTCTTCCATCATGCTGGCCAGACGTCCTGGAAGAGGTCGGTGCGTGTGTGTGTATACTCCATGTTGTCATGAAAGTCCTCTCGGTTAAATGACACCACAGTATTTTTTCCCGACAGCACTTGGGTCTGTCGCGTGACCTCTGACCTGCGAGCGTTCGGCACTTCACTTGACGTCCTTCCTCCGCACCTCCGAGTATCACGGTTTGGCTCCGTACGGTGCCAAACAAGACCCTCCTTTTCTCCCATCCTTCCCTCCATCCCTAGGCACCCCCATAATTGTTGTACCCACTAACCGCCCTTCCTATACCCCATCCCTATCCACCGTACTTTTAGCCACCCTAATTGCTCCACTCATAACCCTGCGTCAAACGCCTTGGATAAAAGCGCTACATAAATGTAAGATAATATAACACACATGCAGAGTGCACCGAGCCTGTTTCGTTTGTTGAAAGCTTGTGCGTAGTTGTGCATCGGCACACGTGCACGTGTGTGTGGAGTGTTAGTGTCGCGGTTAGTGCACTGCGCTACGAACCCGGGGACCCGAGTTCGATTCCAGCTCATGGCCGACACCAGTGATGGTTATCTGAACCGGTTCTGGGCCGCGCCTAGGTCGACTCAGCCTCAAATGAGTACCTCGTGTAGTGTACACACACCAATGGGGGAGACAAGGCGGACGGGCGTGGTGCTGATCACCCACCCTCTCGTATACTGTGCCGGCCTTCATAGGTGCTCGCGAACAGCACTTGCCCCAAAAATGTCTGCTAAGGCTACATGGGGGATCTTTGTATTGTGTGTGTGTAGGTTCAGGTGAACCCGAATTATATCGTGCCCGAGATGGACTACTCGAACAACATTGTGCGGTGTGACGTGCGCTACACAGGAAACTATGCGTCTGCCTCCAACTGCCGCATCTCACCGTGAGTTTTGACTGAATCTGTTCGGCCACGGTTCATAAGTGAGATGAGATGCAACTTGTTCGCTCACTCACCCACCCATTAATTAGCTTCCTTAACAACGCACTCACTCACTGAACTACCCATTCACCCACCTACCCATTCATTCACTTCCTTACCAACACACCCACACAGCCACTCACTCACCCATTGACACACCTATTCATTCACTTACCCATTACATCTACCCACTCATCCACCTACCCACCCACTCACTGACCCACCCATAAATCCACTTACTCACTGACCCACCCAACCACCCAGTCACTCACCCATTCATCCAGTTACTTACTCACTCATCCATCGATCCACTTACTCACCGAAGCATCCACCCACCCACCCAACCACTCCCACACTCTCATAATGACCACCCACCCATCCTCTCGGGCTGCCACTTTTGGGTGATTTCTTGAATTCGTATGAAGGCTACGATAATAGGAAGAATTATCGAGTGAATAATATGATTACGCTTGGATTAATTTGAAGGCATGGATAATCTTAACATTGCTTAATATACACACAGATAAGAGGATTTGTACTTCAATACATGAATGGCCGAATGCATCTAATTCAAAGGCCCTTTCTGATGTCCTATGTCTTTGTCCTTACTGTGCCTTGCAGGTACTAACGTTCAGATGAATGGGACCTCCAAAGTAAATAACCACTCGCCATCCAAGTAACGGAGATGAGCTTTGACTAATCAGCACCAGCAATGTTGTACTTGACTCGGCATAAAGACCACGCGTGTGATTGCAGGAAGCCGACATGCGTGTAACATATTGTCAGTGAGCAGGTTTGCGTCTATTGGTGAATGTTACTCAAAGGGAAAATAAGTGAAGATTCAAAGATATAATTGCACAATTGCAGGTGTGTTGAGTGATACGAAATCGTCTGACCCACATTCCATAGAAGTGGTGTACCACTGCAATGGCATATGGGCCACACGCATATCTTGTATAACACTTGGCGTTTGTGATGACAGATTAACTCACAGGTCTATCGTTTAAGAGGTCATTGTAAAATTGGCTTGGTGTTAATGGACACAGAATATGTTGGCTTTGATTTACTCCGTGCAATGGCTTGCTTCATAGAACTACTAGTTGAAGGATTTTACACGATTTTGTTCTCTTTTAAATAACGATTACTGCATAGAAACTCTGTTGGAGTGGCAGCCGAGGAATTGGACGCGTCCGATAGGGTTACGTCCACCGAAGTTAATCAGTTCAAGGTGCAGGAGCCGGGAGGATGATTTTTCCATCGCAGCATCGCGAGAGACGGCGCAGGGCTTGGGGAGGCCTTCATCCAGCTGTGGATTGACCATGGCTGATAATGACTGTATTAAGAACACGCTCAAGCCCCCCCGACGCTCCTTTTAAACACCTCGGCTCTGCTGATCTCAATTGGTTTTCTCCGTAGGGGATGGACATTTCCACATTCCCATGTCAGGGAACTCATCAATCCATTTGGATAAATGGTTTTGACCTTCCTAAACCCAGGTGTGGTGCAGCCTCACCAAGTGGTACTCATTTTATCGATCCAACCCTAACGAGATGATGGCCTGATTGGAACCCTAGACTGTTGAGCACAAAAATGCATGAGATGAGCCGTCCAAAGTAAGTCATGTGTCTCCATTGGCGATGGAAATTCTGGAAATTCTACCTTCCTATGCCAGGGGCCAGTATATCATAGGAAAAAAACCCACTGTTGGCTTCCCATAAAGCAACACAATTTTTTTCATTGAGTACAAAATGAACAAGTAAAAAATACAATGCAAACCGTACACTCGCAAAGTGCGCAAACCGTACACATATAAACCACCAACAGAGGCGGACAATGCATCGTACAATTCTGTCCAACTCTCATACAAGTGATAGCATTAGTAAAGGTGTAACGATGCATTGATTAATAGATTAAAATCGATTCTCATCATTGAGATACGTTCGTCGAATTGTGTTTGTGTAAGTAAACTTTTTTTTAAAATTCATGTCTCATGTACTCGGGTGCGGCTTTTCGTAGGATCATTCACTTTTTGAAATCTGCAAGTCTTCCCGGGACATTAAAAGTCCCAGTTTTTGTGTCAGTTGTGCAATACTTCACCACTCAAGGCAATGCATTTACATGCACCGCTCCCTTCTTTCGGCGCTCTGAGATATTCCTTCTTCCAATCAGATTGTCCCAGTTTCTATTGTACGTCGGAGGAGACAATCCTACCTTAAAGCCAATTGGTTCATGTGACCACTGCAGCCACACGTCGCAACTACGTTCACCACAGTGTTGCAATAATCTCATTCTCGGATCTAATTGAATTGTGACAATTCATCATCTCTGTGGGTGTTGAGATGATTCGTTATGCCTCGATTCGTGAATCACGATTTTGCTATCCATTCACTAATAACTGTCACCTGAATACACTTCTGACCTTATATTGCTCTTCTTTATCCATCTATCATATTTCCATACTCTTTGATTATTTCGGTAAAGCCACGTAGGTAGAATTTTTTTTTATATTTCTCTTCTTAATGCATCCCTCTCCTATCTCTTATAGATTGTGTTTTTTTTTATATTTCACTCATCACCTTTGAAGAAACGAGTTCTTTTGTTTGACAATTAATCAAGCGGCGACTGCCCGAAGGATGGGTTTGAGGTTAATGCTCGGGACTGGCTTGCGAGGGTGCAGCGCGCGACAGGTTCGATCCGGGCTGACGGGGGGGGGGGGGGGGGCGCGAAGGCGAGCAGCGCGCTCTGCTTCTCACGTGGTGCTCATTTTGACGACCGTCGAGGAGAGGCGAGGCGGTGGTTGACGAGCATGCCGCCAGCCCCTTGCTCGGCCACCTCACGGCCTCCTTGTTTGACCTTCCTCACTTTGCTGCTGCTGCTGCTGCTGCTTTAGCAACGTGCACACGATAATTGGTTTTGTTACCCTTCTATCTGGCAAACAAAACTGACACCTTTTTACAAGGAGTCATGTTTGCATAGACCGCAATACCTGCAGTCATAATACAAACAAAAGAACATAACTCTGATAATGTGCGCTGTCCTTGAAGTTGATTGGTCCACACCCGAGACAGCTTTCCTTAGAGCCTAGTCTCACATGGGTTGGACCAGATGACGCCAGATAGAAGGGTAAAAAAAAAACAATAATCATATTTTTACTGGCAAATGAGGTTCTCATAACGTGCACATGGACAAATATTACCCCCTTGCCCCCCCCCACAACCATCCAAAAAAAACTCACTCACATTCGTTCAAATACTTTGGCCTAAAATAAAATATATATATATAAAGTAGGAACGGTGCCCTTCTTCATCGACTCTTTCCTCGAACATTTCAAAGCTATCCTTGCGTGCAAATGAACGCGACTTCGTTTCACGTAACGTGACCGCAACGTGACATTACGTGCGCTATGAGGAAGGGCAATTGCTAGAAACGTTTCCTTGTTATAATATTTTTGTTTCATTTTCAAGGCCGCACAGCGTTATTGACGAACGATTTTAATTGTTTTCTCTCTCTCCCTCCTGCCCTAACTTTGAGTCGAGCGCTCCACAATGAAACCGTGTTCCATTAAATCAGCGGCACTGTTTTTGCCATCACTGATAAACGGCAATAGTTTGCTAATGCGTTGTCAGGTATTGTTTATATTGCACTGTTTATATTGTTATTAATGCAACTGTTCTATATATATAACATGTGTCGTATAGTTGGCCGTGACAATGAAGTGTTGTGTCGAGGATAAAAGCATTGCGACATTCTTTTGCCCAGTTTATCATATCGAATGAGTTTATGAAGTAAACAAGATTGGCTTTGAAAAGTACCTTTCAGACATTCTCAAACTATGACTGTTTCCCCGGACATTTCAAAGCTAAACTTGTACGCAACCTCATTGAAGTAATGTTACTGCTGTTTAAAAAACAGAAAATCGTGGTGATGTTGGTGAAGCAGACATGTTTAATGATATGCCGCTCTGAATAGACTGCCACTCCTGCAGATAATGAAATTCCACCGTTCAATTTGTAAGCCGACTACCGCTGAGACCACCCTGGGTTAAAATTCACGGCGCCTGCCCGTGATTAAAAGTGGCTTCTCAATTGTAATGAGTTGAATGTCTCAGCCCGGTCACCAATGACTGCACCAAGAAACAAACAACTGGTTATGTAAAACTTTAGTTTTGCACTCAATTTGACCAAAACTCCCAGCAATGAGAATTCAATTATCGTTATGACTGAATCGTGGCGAACATCGCTCTGATGATGTAGAGCGAGTGGGGAAAGTGTTGCCCTCTACTGCGTGGACCACGTGTCACTTGACGGGACCTGAGAGGCAGCTCTGTAATATCCACTTCCGTGGGCTATTCCCTGACACAGAGAGGGGTTGCACTGCTGTGCGAGAGATCCGAAGGGAAACTTAATCTCGTGGCGTGACGCCGATAGCGCAATCGGGGAAAACATAAAAAAAAAACATCTTTTAAAGAACTTACGAAATTTACTTCTTTAAGTATTGTTGTTCAACCATTTTGTTACTTTATATCGTGAATGCATTATATCGTTGTTCTTAATGACGTTTACAGAAGTATATTCGCAATAACAAATTTTTATATATTTTGAAATCACGCTTCACATGTTACTCAGTGGCTCAGGGCGTTAGATCATAAACTAGTGAGCCAAAACATTCAAGATCACGGAATTGAATTCCGGTTCATATCCTCAACTTAGTAGATTAGAAAACAAACAACAAATCTGATATTTATCTTGGAAAACCTTCACGGATTTTTCGATTTAAAGCTTTCGTGACTGCAGGGATTCATCTTCTTGGTTCTTTCGGTAAAGTCACGTGACTTTACCGAAAGAACCAAGAAGAACCTTCACTGAATTTCAAGAATTTTTTTCAGGAGGAACCTGCCTTGGGGATTGTTTTGTTGTTGGCCAATTTTTATTTCATGGGCCAAAATGTGATGAGTGAACACGATTCAGTCCATCTCAGAGGCCAGACTTGTCGTGACAACGTCGTCTTGAGCAACACGTGCCCTTTTGTTCAAACGAGCGTGGTGGGGTGCGGGACCACATTTCTGTTGGTGATCTTACAATATCAGTGGAAAACACCACGCTACCACGGTGTCTCCCACGTCTCGCTTCAAACGAATTGTTACGCGTTTTTATTTGAACCTGGGAGGGATGATGTGGCTGAATTGACCTTCGACCTGGATTCAAACTTGTAACTGAACAGTGCCACGTGATCGATAGCTTACTCATAAGTAGAGCTGAGCGTGAATGAGTCGATTAAGTTAATTAATCCAATGCAGCATTGGCATCAACTATCTGAAGTTGTATACTGCGGGGGCTCCTTTAATACTGAAACCACACCAACATCCTGCCGAACGAAGGCAAGGAAACCCCCCTGCAATGCGGCTGAAGTTGCCGATGACATCAAAGTCCTCCAAACAATATCCTGTGAAGCGGCGCACGTGGCAAGAGTGGTGAAGGCCTTTTATTTTCCTCCAAAATATGTTTGTATTATTTGATGAGTCAAATAATGGAATCGATCAAAAGCAAAGTAATCAATTGCTTAAATAAGCAGATAGCCCAGCTCTAATCGCCCACAATGAAAATGTTTAATTTGTAACAGTCACATTTTATATTAACTTAAAAAAATTAGATGATTTTTATCCCTGCCAAATGCTAATCATATGAGACAATTGAAAGGAACGGGATCCTTTAATAGTTTTATGAAGCGAGCTCGCTTCATCCAGCAGGTCGGTTTTCGAGATAATAACCGTGTCATTATAGAGCAAGGCCTGCCACACGCTTAATGAGACAGACGAAGCATTGCACAAAACAAGATAGTGTGTCATTTACATTGCCACAAATCATGGCTGATGTTGAGTTCTTCAGCACATGGATTATAAGGCATACTTTACTAAAAGGAAACGTTGTATGTTAACTAGCAACAAATGTTATATTGTATTAATTGTACTTGACAGCATAACATGTAAATATGTTATTACCAATGGTGCTTTGAAGGTTTGAATTTTCGCCGGTGCTTTATCTGCTTGATGCAAAATACATATCTTGTTTATTCCTGTATATCCACGTGGGCGACGAGTAAACGAGTGCTAAACAATAAAGGAATATTTTGCCGAATTCAAAATACAATTGTGGATTTTATGAGCAATTGGAAACGTTTCAGAACACTCCGGTCGCGTCGTACAAAAGCATCGTTTTCGAGGTTCGAGAAAAAATAAAGCGTACAGCTTAATCCTAATTGTGTGTTTTTTGTGAATTGCTCTTGAGGCAGATTCATATATATATATGCGGCCAATGCATTCGACATCAAAAACAAACAGTGGGAATCCCAACACACTGCACCCTAAGGTGGTTTCACAACGTTTTATAACCGTGAATAAGTATAACCAGTAAAAACAAAGTTTTTCACTATAAATCCTTTATATGCGTGGCGGCTAGAGTCCTCTCGTCCTCTGGCTTGAGATGGCTGCCACCTATGGGTCAGATGATTGTCTGCCAGTATTAAGCAATTGGTAATTAAATATTTAATTTGTTTTCCCTAAACAGTGTAAAATTTTGGAAAAATAATTTTCACGAACATTAATTGTCTCGCACAACGAGTCTGTGTGCAAAATGTCAGCTCGATTGGATCACGGGAAGTGGGTTAAAAAACGACCGAAAGATTTGCATGGTCGTAAGCAAGCAAGCACGCAAGCACGCAAGCACGCAAGCACGCAAGCAAGCGAACTTAATATAAAGGATTTAAAAATAAATTGTGCTTAGCGGTGTCATGCCCTGCCCAAGCACCCCACGCACGTTTCTTGCTGGCCAACGTGAAGCCCTTTGACCTTGCGTATGCTCTCTAATCCATGCCCGTTCCTCCGTCTCTCACCACGTGTCATTCCCAGCGTGCATCTTCTCAGATCGCTTCCTTTGCGCACTTGTTTTGTTGATATCATTTTCTGCGTAGGTGTCCGTGTATCTGATCCGTACGTCAGAGCAACTACAATACGTTTATTCAAAAACATAATAAGAATAAATTGTTTTGAGGGCAAACGCATTATGGAAAGCGTTATGAAATCCATTTCCATATGCGTGCTGTTTTTGGTTGATGTTTTTTTTGAATTCCCTTTATTGAAGCCAATTTGTTGGCGCTAAATACTTACACATAAGAGAATGTCCCATAAAACAAACAGGACCTCCTCACGATATAACAGGCCGCACATATTCGGAAGGAATTTGGCTGTGGAAGTTCCCTTTGGAAGGGCCGTTGCATTTTTTAAGTCGTAACGACCATTTCCAATAATAATATAAAAATATATAAAAGTCTAGGCTGTGCCAGGGAAATGGATGGCTGTTATTGTCCAAATGTTTTGGCGTTTATAGTTTTAAGAATGCAGCACACACACACACACGTGCACAAAAAAAACACATTTCTGCGGAGGAAGCTGGTAGGAACGTTGGGTTGCTCGGTCAATGGCCAGGGTCAACGGCGGCGTGGTGTATTCCGCAAATATGCCCGACTGTGAGGGCGGTCACAAGCCGGCGTGAGTAGGTTAAACGTTGAGTTTTATAAGGGCACCACGGGGTGACCAGCCCCTCCCCATCCAGCCCCACCCCACCCAGCCCCACCTTCCCCACCCAGCCCCTCCACACCCAGCCCCTCCCCTCTCCACCTAGCCCCACCCCACGCAGCCCAACCCTCCCCACCCAGCCCCTCCCTCCCCACCCAGCCCCTCCCCACCCTCCCCTCCCCACACAGCCCCTCCCTCCCCACCCAGCCCCTCTCCACCCAGCCCCTCCCTCCCCACCCAGCCCCTCCCCACCCAGCCCCATCCTCCCCACCCTCCCCTCCCCACCCAGCCCCACCCTCCCCACCCAGCCCCTCCCCACCCTTCCCTCCCCACCCAGCCCCTCCCCATCCAGCCCCACCCCACCCAGCCCCACCTTCCCCACCCAGCCCCTCCACACCCAGCCCCTCCCCTCTCCACCTAGCCCCACCCCACGCAGCCCAACCCTCCCCACCCAGCCCCTCCCTCCCCACCCAGCCCCTCCCCACCCTCCCCTCCCCACACAGCCCCTCCCTCCCCACCCAGCCCCTCTCCACCCAGCCCCTCCCTCCCCACCCAGCCCCTCCCCACCCAGCCCCATCCTCCCCACCCTCCCCTCCCCACCCAGCCCCACCCTCCCCACCCAGCCCCTCCCCACCCTTCCCTCCCCACCCAGCCCCATCCTCCCCACCCTCCCCTCCCCACCCAGCCCCACCCTCCCCACCCAGCCCCTCCCCACCCTCCCCTCCCCACACAGCCCCTCCTTGCATGACGGACGGACGGACACAATAATCCCCTGTGGGCTGGTGTAACCAGGAGGTTCCTACTAGTACGAAGATCCCCTGTTTTGCCCACACAGACTGATGAGACAATCATGTACGTTGAATTTCTTTCGCACCGTACATAGCTAACCATGCTAATCGGAGGTGCGGGAAAGCGCTGTTATTGAACAGCCTGTGGAGACACTTTTTGGTTCTTTCGCTCAAGTCACGTAGAAAGAAAATAATTAAATAACATTTCGATTTAAAGCTTTCGTGACTGCAGGGATTCATCTTATTGGTTCTTTCGGTAAAGTCACGTAGAAGGGAAGTAATAAAATAATAAAAATAAAACATAATAAAATAATTCTCACGACGTTTCGGCTACAACGCAAGCAGCCGTCTTCAGGTGAAGGAAGACGGCTGCTTGCGTTGTAGCCGAAACGTCGTGAGAATTATTTTATTTTATTATGTTTTATTTTTATTATTTTATTACTTCCCTTCTACGTGACTTTACCGAAAGAACCAAGAAGTTAAATAACATTATACGACGTTTCGTTTGCAACACAAGCAATCGTCATCAGGCAGAACTCAATTTGAGAGAGAGACAAAACACAGACACGGAGACACACAGACAGACACTCAAGCAGAGAGAGACACCACATAGACACACAGAGTGTGTCTATGTGGTGTCTCTCTCTGTGTGTCTCTGTGTTGTCTCTCTCTCTGCCTGTGTACCTGACACATAGTGTTGATGAAACAGAGTGTGTCTATGTTGTGTGTCTCTCTCTGTGTTGTCTCTCTCTGCTTGTGTGTCTGTCTGTGTGTCTCCGTGTCTGTGTTTTGTCTCTCCCTAAAATGTAGTTCTACCTGATGACGACTACGTGTGTTGCAATCGAAACGTCATATTCTATTATTTAATTAATTTTCTCTCTACGTGACTTTACCGAAAGAACCAAAGAGTAATTCCTGCAGTCACGAAAGCTTCAAATCAAGCCTGTGGAGAGGCCGGCACGGTGCACGAGAGGGCCCTGGTGTGGCCAGCACGACGCCAGTGGTCCCAGTCACCTTTGTCTTCCCAGTGCTAATGTTTACACACTACTCCCGATAGTCATTCACGGATTGCAAGCAGTCATCGACTTACGAACACCCGACTTACGAATCACCCGCACTTACGAGGTAGGTTCCATAGCATATTTTTGGTTTTTTGTTTTACATTGACTTGCAGCGCAAACTCGCACTTTTAAATTTAACCTCGGAATTATGTTGGCGAGATGTAACGAGTCAGCCTCGTGCTGGGAGTGATTGCTTGTGTGTATGTGTGAGCATTTAAATATTACAGTCAATCACCGTGTTCCGACTTATAAACCGTTCGACTTACGAACGAGCCTCGGGAACTAAGAGTGTTCGTAAATCGAGGACTGTCCGTAGTTGACATTCAGGTAGAGTTACCGAGCTGACAGTAAGGCTTTAAAACCACAACAAGTTGAAGATAATTCAAGGACATGATGAAGATGCAATCGACCTAAGGGCATTGATTACACGATCGGTTGACATACACGGCACTGATGTTAGCCGTCGCTAGGAAGTAAACACGGGTCACCGGATTCGTAGCGCGGCGAGTTGACCACGACAACCGTGCACACACATACACACTCACAGCATCTCCCCAACACACCTTACAGATCTCGTCAAGGAGCATAAACCATCACGTGAACTCCGGTCATCCTCGCAGCAACGGCTTTTGGCTCGCCGTCGAACAAAGACGGTCGCTGCATCGCGCGCTTTCAGAAGCGCTTCTGCGGCCGTCTGGAACGCTCTTCCTTCCGATATTAGGAAGCCACTGGAGCTATGCACTTTTAAATCTGGATTGAAAACTCATTTCTTGAGAACCGCTCTTTGCGTGTTGTGTTTGTTGTCCTTCCCCTGCACCTTTGATTAGCACGGCTGGCTACATACGGTGCGAAAGCATTTCAACATACATACATCTCAATAAGACCAATTTTGTATGAGTACGTTCACACTAATGTAAGCTGATTAAAAATGTACACAGCTGTTACAAGCTGCATTCAACACATTACTGTAAAAACAAAATGAAGACTTTAAACAGTAACTGTGTTACAAGGAATCACATTACCGTAAAAACAAAATGAAGACTTTAAACAGTAACTGTGTTACAAGGAATCACATTACCGTAAAAACAAAATGAAGACTTTAAACAGTAACTGTGTTACAAGGAATCACATTACCGTAAAAACAAAATGAAGACTTTAAACAGTAACTGTGTTACAAGGAATCACATTACCGTAAAAACAAAATGAAGACTTTAAACAGTAACTGTGTTACAAGGAATCACATTACCGTAAAAACAAAATGAAGACTTTAAACAGTAACTGTGTTACAAGGAATCACATTACCGTAAAAACAAAATGAAGACTTTAAACAGTAACTGTGTTACAAGGAATCACATTACCGTAAAAACAAAATGAAGACTTTAAACAGTAACTGTGTTACAAGGAATCACATTACCGTAAAAACAAAATGAAGACTTTAAACAGTAACTGTGTTACAAGGAATCACATTACCGTAAAAACAAAATGAAGACTTTAAACAGTAACTGTGTTACAAGGAATCACATTACCGTAAAAACAAAATGAAGACTTTAAACAGTAACTGTGTTACAAGGAATCACATTACCGTAAAAACAAAATGAAGACTTTAAACAGTAACTGTGTTACAAGGAATCACATTACCGTAAAAACAAAATGAAGACTTTAAACAGTAACTGTGTTACAAGGAATCACATTACCGTAAAAACAAAATGAAGACTTTAAACAGTAACTGTGTTACAAGGAATCACATTACCGTAAAAACAA